AGGGACCTCTGAAGACTGAGTCCAACTCCCTGCCAGAGCAGGACCAAAAACTAGGGCAGGTCACTCAGAAAGGCATCCAGACAGGTCCTGAAATTCTCCAGAGAAGAAGACTCCACAACCTCTCTGGGCAGCCTGTCCCAGGGTTTCTGTAACCTCACAGTAAAGAAGTTCTTCCTCATGTTGAGGTGGAACTTCCTCTGCTCCAGTTTGAATCCATTGCCCCTCGTCCTATCACAGGGCACAGGTGACAAGAGGTTGTCCCTGCATTCTTGATGCCCCCATGTGTTTGTAGACATTAATTAGATTCCCCTCAGTCTTCTCCTCTCCAGACTGGAAAGCCCCAGGTCTCTCAGCCTTTCCCCGTAAGGCAGGTGTTCCTCATCCTCGCAGCCTCTGTTGGGCTCTCTCCAGTAGATTCCTGTCCCTCTTGAACTGGGGAGCCCAGAACTGGACACAACACTCCAGATGTGGTCTCACCAGGGCTGAGTAGAGGGGGAGGAGAACCTCCCTCGATCTGCTGGAGACACTCCTCTTAATGCACCCAAAGATACCATTGCCTTCTTGGCTACTTAAAAATAAATTAAATCTATTAAACTCTGATGACACCTAGAGTACTGTGTCCAGTTCTGAACATAAAAAGGATCTGGAGCTCCCGGAGGCAGTGCAGAAGAGGCCACAGAGATGATCTGAGGGCTGGAGCAGCTCTGCTATGAAGACAGGCTGAAAGAGTTGAGGTTGTTCAGCCTGGAGAGGAGAAGGCTCCAGGGAAACCTTAGAGCACCTTCCAGTGCCTGAAGGGGCTCCAGGAAAGCTGGGGAGGGGTTTTTACAAAGGCTCGTAGCAGCAGGACAAGGGGTAATGGATTAAAGTGCTGGAAAAGGGAAAAGATTTAGGTTAGACATTAGGAAGAAATTCTTCACTATGAGGGTGTTGAGACACAAGAACAGGCTGCCCAGGCATGCTATGGATGACCCATCCCTGGCAGTGTTGAAGGGCAGGTTGGATGGGGCTTGGAGCAACCTGGGCTGGTGGGAGGTGTCCCTGCCCATGCAGGGGGTTAGAACTAGATGATCTTGAAGGCCCCTTCCAACCCAAACTGTTCTATGATTCTATGAATATCCTAAATAATCTCTGAAATACACCAAAACCACCCCCAAAATACAAATAGCATCTTTCCATCCCAGGGCCCCATGACTGTCCCACTCCTGTGTCAGTTAGCAGCACATCCTTGTAAACGAGCTTATGCAAATGGGGGAGTTGGAGGTTCTGGGGGTGGAAATTATGGGTTTGCACCAACATTGCAACAGCTCAGTTTTCCATGGCATCATGGGCTCCCAACCTGGGAGAAGCCACCCCAAAAAGGGGGTCCCAAGGTAGGTCCCGCCATCTGACAACAACCCCAGCGTAAGACTTAAATATCTTTACACAAGAGTAATATAATGCCATCATCAGCTTAAGCTCCATATCTACCAGGCGTGAAATTAGTTCCAGCAAGCTGCAAATTTGCCACTAATAAAAATATTTAGCAATTCACTGGTCTTCAAATCAGGAGCAGAATATTTTCTTGCTTGCCTCAATGCCTGTTTCTTTTTAATTCTTATGTTGGAGCATCAGGGAGCTCCAGATTAAACCTGTGAGTTTTATGACTGCGCAGAGTTTTAAATCAGTTCCTCCACTGCCAGGAGTTTCAGCATTTAATATCATTTGATATTAGATCATGTTAGACAAAATAAGCTGGACATGGTGGATTTTTGGTTTTTAACCCAAAAAAGGTCCCATTGACCCAAAGCCACCCCGCTTTCAAGGGCTGCGCCTTGAGAGCTGCCTTACAAAAGAGCTTTGATCCATCTGATCCTGCCTTGCAGCCCTTGAAGTGAGATGACCTCTTCATCCTCCTGGGCCTAGTGTTTAATTAGCCTTGGTGCTAATTGCATCTCTCTGCTAAGCTTGTTTTGCCCAACTCCCACCACCAGGATCTCTTTTCATGCCTTTGCCAAGAAACGCCATAACTTCCTCGTCTTTTCCTTGGGGAAGCCCATCCCTGACAATAAAGCATCCTTTGAATCACTCCAGAACAGGGCAGCATCTCACATCCATCGGTGCCTACATTAATTATTTAGGTCCAAATAAATCCTTTGCATTGGGCCATGAACACCCAACAGCATCCAGACTACCCTGCTTCTCCTTATTTACCAGGGAAAGCGTGGTGTGGGTTGAGAGCCTTGTCAGGAAAGGCTTTGAGGTACTTGCATTATTGATATCAAATATGCTGGGCCTAGTATTAACCATTTTTCCATAATTTGTCATAGGTTTGATGCTTCCTGCCCAAATCCTGATTTGGATGCAAATTCAAAGTCTCGGTGAAACTCGGATCTGCACACATTCCCACATCAGCCTGTATCCTGGGAAAAACCACAACTATGAAGTCTCTCCCAGAATCATCCAACTACTGCAAACAACATGAAAATCCTCAAATTCTGCAGCTTTCCTACGTTTTTTAATTCATATTTTATATTCAATGTTGCCTTGTTCTCCCTTTCAGCTTTTTTTTTTTTTTTTACAGGTGCAATGTTACTATCTCACAAGCAGTAAATCATACCAAATCCTAGCAGGTAAAAGCTGGGGAAAAAAATCCTCATTTTAGGACAGCAATGAATTATTCTTTGGCTTTAAAATCAAATTTTTGCATTCAACTGATGAAGCAGCCTGGTAAAGCAAATCCCTGTCAAGGAAAGGGAGAGGCTGGGATGAAGATGAAGGTTTTTGGGATTATGGTGTTTGTTGCAGGCATGTTGAAGAAATGTATAAGGAACATAGTCCTTGGAAATACCACACCAATAAGGTTTGTTTTCCCAAGTACCTTCTTTCAAATCCTTAGCCATGGATGTACAGTTGTGCTCAAAGAAACCCATTGCCCTGCTGCAACCCTCTATGTGCAATGTTGAGATATTTTGGAATGTGTTTGGATGCTGGGCATCATTCCATCTTCAAATCTTAGTGCTTGAGTTACCACCAGCCCAACAATGCTAGATACAACAGGTAGGATTAAAACCCACAAGCAACATGGCTAAAACCTGACTACTGGATGTGATTTCTGGGGAATATATCAGATTTATTCCTCAGCCTCTGGCCAAATACCTGGTTTGGCGGTGGGTTCAATAGCTGAATGACTGAAGTTCTCTGCTGCAAACTCTCAGACTTGCTTAATTTTGTAATTGTTGGCATCAAGAAATGACCAGGTGGCATCAAGAGGAGACAATAAATAGTGAAAAGACTAAATTGATCCAGTAATGGGTTAAAGATACTGCTGTTATAGCTGTGGATAAAAGGTAGAAGGGAAAATTCAGTAAAGTCTCGTTGGCTGATGGACAAAGATGGGAAGCCAAATGATGAAAGAGGAACAGCAGGAAGAGAAAGGTCTCTACAAAAACAGGGATATGTAGAAATTTGGGTTTTACAAACTATAGGGTTCTAAAAAGGAAAATAAATGGGAAAACAGAGAAAAGCAAAGGGAGATTCTGAAACCACAGGAGCAAATGTAGCATTTCTGATTGCCAGCAGAAATAATAGAAAGTAACAGAAAAGAAAGGTTGGGAAAGAGATGGCAAAGATGGACACTACCAGTGTGGGGCTCGCAGAGAAAGAAACCAGACCTTCCTGGTGAGATTGCATGGGAAGGAGTTTGCCATCAAACAGGCTTTATATTGGCAGGCAGTTCCTATCCGATGCCAAGTCCAGGCAGGTGTTGGAGACAGTTTGTGCTCTGCTTGCCCAACCGGTTGATGTCATGCCAGGGACTTCGGTTTCATTGCAGGAAAAGGCAGGTCAACACCATGCAGGTTAATTAATTGCCATTTTATTCCTCCCATTAATAGGAATGACAGAAAGAAAACATCAAGTTTGTGACAATTTCTGCAAAGTGTCATCAGACTTGCCTTGGTGAGAGGAAAAACTTAATATATCAATGTATTTACTTTTTTTTCCAGGTTAACTGGTAGATAAGCCATGAGTACTGGAGTAAAGTCACCCACCGGCCAGATGTGATGGGGAAGGAACAGGATTTAACCTCTTATTGGGAAGAAAAGTGGGCTTAAAAAGGAAATCCCTCGTCTTCATATCACAAGATGCTTTGTGCATTTTTGAGCTCCTTAGCTTGAATTGGAGACCCTTGACCCTGTCTCACAGCCATACAAAACCCTGCTGCAACCAGTCGTGCGTGTGTGTCTATTTTAACCAAATCTACCTGATTTTGGACCTAAACATTTTGAGGGCACGGGCAGCCCAGTGTCAGGCTTTTTGGGGGTTGGAAGTTTGCTTCAGCAGAGGGGCTCTGCAGAGCTGCAGGCTACAGCAGCAAGCAACGCTGGGTTAATTAAGCACCAATGCGTTTGCAAGGGAGCAGAAATTCCGGGAAATTCCCGTTCCACCGGGACCACCTCCCGGGACCGAAATGGGGCAACGGGAAGGAGAGGGGAGGAGACGGGGAGACACAGAGCGGGGGCCGGGGGGGAGGGGAGAGGAACGGGGAACAGGAAGGGGGGGGAGGAGGGGGAGAGAAG